CATGGTTGGATTCTTTTGGTGTCCTGAGTTCATAATGTAAAAGGTGTAAGATTAAGTAAGACGAACAAAGCATTATCTGAAGTATGAAAAATGTATAACCAAAATAGAAACTTATAAATGTGGCAATGTTTTCCCTTGTGCCTCTGTGAGAATCGCCCATTGTTAGAAGTGCCATTGTTTAAAATGCTTGAGATTATGAAAGGCTTAGAAAATGTAAGAGAGTATGAAAGACTTAGAAAGTGTAAGAGAGTATGAAAGATTTCGTAGCAGAGAGTGAGACTTGTGTGGGTGTGAGAGATGTATGATATGGTATATATTTATAGGCAAAAAAATTTCATATAGTAGTTGCTGGTGCTTGCATGCATGCGAAGTGTCACTCTTGCAGGCTAGGTGGCATCCTAGGGGGTTACATATATGCATGCATGTAAAAAAATGAAAGGTGTCACTCTTGCAGGCTAGGTGGCAGCCTAAGGATGTATCACGATTGGACAGTAAGGGAGGCGCCATTGGACTTGGAGAAAGAGTACAAAAATGAATGGTGTCACCATCCCAATTGGCGAATAAGAGGTGTCCTTTGTTGCAGGCTAGGCCCAGGCTACGTGACAGCCTTTGGGATGCCTTGCATGTAACACTATTGGCAGCCTTGGGGGTTGCATCCTTACTTAATTGAAATTTTTAGTCTTACGTTTATCATAACATTGATTCACTTAATCTGTCAGATCTTCCAACCTTCAAACGTTCTTACAATCAAACCTTCAAACCTTCAAACAATCAAACATACAAACCTTCGAATAACTCATAAAGTTCAAACATTCCAACCTTCAAACCTTACAACATTCAAACCTTCATACAATCAATAAACTTCAAACATTCCAACCTTCGAATCACTCATAAAATTCAAACATTCCAACCTTCAAACCTTCAAACAATCCTACGCAATGGCCTCTGCACCACAATTTGTCGTCAAAGCACATTTCAACAGTGAGACATACATTTGTCCCACCGCTGGGTTTTTGTTTAGAGACACAGACAACACCTGATTTCTCTTAAACGGGAAAGCTAATTTCTCATACTTCAAAAAACGATTGGAGGCCAAACTTGAACGAGGCCCGGTGACCTAGATATTTTATCAGAATCCAACTTTTTTTTGAAACAACCAAGTAATTTTTTATAAGGTTGAAGTTCAAGATGACGAGGATCTCCAGAATATGTTTTCCAGCCATGTGTATTCTGGGTACGACTTTATTGAGTTGTACGTTATACTGCGAGAGCCTCAGGTGACACAAGAGGTTGATCCTTTGGAGAATGAACAAGCTGAGGTAGATGCAGTTGATGATGAAGAAGAAGATGATGAGTTAGAGTTTGATGAAATGGTGAATGATGATTCTGACGATGATGGCATCCCTAGTATTCCTGCAAACGAAATCTACACACCACCTCCGCACATGACAAACTTCAACATGGGCGGAGATGAACCTTCTACTGACTTATTTTTCAATCCGTATATGCAGTCGGATGAAAATTTAAAAGAGAAGAACAAGTTTTGTAACCGAGAGGAATGCATCAGAGCCATACAAAAATTCCACATGCTCAACTCGGTTGATTTTAAGGTGGACCGTGTCAACCCGAAAAGGTACAAGATCAAGTGTGTCCACCCTGACTGTATGTTCAAGCTGATCGCATCATACAGATTAAGAGGTGACTGTTGGGTCATAGGTTCCATGACTACCCACACTTGTGTAAGTTCCACTCAATCACAGGACCACCGAAAACTCAACTACGATCTCATATGTCAAGAAATCCTACCCCTGGTCAGCAACGACCCATCTTTAAAGGTGAAAACAATCATCTCCCACATCACCACGGTTTTTAACTACACGTCGTCTTACTGTAAGGCGTGGTTAGCAAAGACTAAGGCAATTGAAAGGGTGTACGGAAACTGGGAGGAGTCATACCAAGAACTTCCCCGCTACCTGAATGCACTCAAGATGTATTCTCCAGGTAGTGTTTATGTTCTGGAAACAGTGTCAGCGTACACCCAAGATGGTAGTCTACTAAACGACAATGGAATATTCAGTCGAGTGTTTTGGGCATTTCAACCATGCATCATAGGGTTTGCATCATGCAAACCAATTATACAAATTGATGGGACTTGGTTGTATGGGAAGTACAAAGGTACGCTACTGATGGCAGTTGCACAAGATGGCAACAACAACATTTTCCCCATTGCCTTTGCCCTTGTCGAGGGGGAGACCGGTGGTGCTTGGAGCTTTTTTCTGAAAAATCTGCGGACACACGTGGCTCCTCAACCAGATCTCTGTTTGATCTCAGACAGACATGCCTCCATTGAAAGTGCCTACAATAATCCTGCAAACGGTTGGCATGACCCTCCTTTTACACATGTCTATTGCGTTAGGCATATCATCTAGAATTTCACGAGGGAGATCAAGGACAAAACATTAAGGAAAGCGGTTATGAATGCGGGATATGCATTGACACAACCCACATTCAAATATTACCGCAGCGAGATCCGTTTGTCAAATCCGGAAGCCGGTAGGTGAATCGACAATATTCCGGTGGAAAAATGGACTAGGTCATACGACAATGGCCAAAGATGGGGGCATATGACAACGAATCTTATTGAATCAATGAATGGGGTATTCAAAGGCATACGAAACCTCCCGATCACTGCTTTGGTAAAATCTACGTATTTTAGGATGGCTGCATTATTTGCCAAAAGAGGTGAAATGTGGAATGCGGTGTTGCAATCTAGACAACTATGGAGTGAAAGCTGCATGAAATATATTAAGGCTGAAAGTGCTAAAGCCAACACTCATATGGTTATACGGTTTGACCGACACAGCCACAACTTCATAGTGAAAGAGACAATCGACCACAACGAAGGCCTTCCAAGACAAGAATATAGGGTCATGCTACCTTCTCGTTGGTGCGATTGTGGCAGGTTTCAAGCATTTCGTATGCCTTGATCTCATGTCATTGCCGTTTGTGCTCATACCCATCAAGACGCGTTGCAACTTCTGTCAAACATTTACAAATCTAAAACGTTGCTCAACGTTTACAACAACAACTTTCCTTTGGTAGCAAAACCAGATTATTGGCCTGCATACGACGGTGAAATAGTGTGGCACAATGACCAAATGCGAAGGAACAAGAAGGGTCGTCCCAAAAGTAAGGGCATCACAACAGAAATGGACGATCTTGACAAGTTGGAAAGAAAGTGTGGTTTATGCCGTCAGGTCGGACACAATCGCAAAAATTATCCGAATCGGGCGTCTGCCTCGACCATATAAAAATTGTAATACATAAAATCTTTCCTTAATTATGTTGTAAACATTAGGGTTTTTCGTTAACAGATTTTGCTACAATAAATATTGCGCGTACAAGAAAAATTAACGATATTCCGTCTACGAAATTACAATTGTTAACACAATTTCATTTGACCCATGCACCATCAACATTACATCGCTGTCTGTTTTGACTTCCTCCAACCATACATTAGGTATCCCTGTCGCATGTGAGGTTGCTGTTCATTTTCGCTGGATCCTTCGAATTTTTCCCCCCTCCCCAATGTCTCCATCTAGCCATCGCATCAACTCCCGCTTCAGACGCTCCATGGAGTGAATGTGCCAGAATTTCATTTTCATCGCAGGTTTCGTGGCGGAGAAGATAACGTAACCATCTCTGCTAAAAATCATAGGCGACGTCATGACGCAAATAACAGAGTAAAAAATAAAAATACAGTGCGAGAAAGTGTGCGAAATTTCGGAGAAACGGACGAATTATTTATAAAACAGCATTTTGCCCTAGTTTTGCCCTAGGAGCCAAGTGAGATGGCGCCTCCTCTCACTTTTAAGGAGCATGCGACATCTCACTTGGCTAAAAGTGAAAGGAGGCGCCAAGTGAGATGGCGCCTAGGGCAAAAGTAGGGGTGGAGGCGCCAATTCAGATGGCTCCTCCTTTGTGGAGTCATCTGAAACATGGTTATTTCCGTAAATTTTTTCCGAAACGCGATTATTTGCGATTTTTTTTAATACATAGTTATTGTTAAAAAAAATTCCAACGTTGGACCATTCAAAAATAGCCTCTCATTAGCTAAAGATATATTAAAGATATATTTCTTACAAATACTTTATTTAGAGTTATTCACACCCTTTGCGAAGGCAATCAAAATGAAGAATATATATGAAAGATCGATGGTTTGGTTCTTCTAAAAAAAATCATGATTCAAACCTCGTTCCCTCCGAGATTGAGTAACATCTTTTCAGGTGACGTTGCATAACTTTATTTTTTTTAAATTACTATTTTCTCTCATATTTTCTTATATTTTTTAATTAATGCATAGAAATTACATAATATATATTTATAATATTTAATCAATTACCAGCGTCCAGACAGACACTTATGTCCGCTTTCTTTAGTGTGCAAGCGGATGAAAATATTAACAGTATTTTTTATGCATTAATTTTTAATTTTAACATTTGTTATTTATAAAATGATTTAAAAAATAAAATTAAATAGATATAAAAACTGCCATTTAAAAGATAGTAAAGGAAATAGGTTATATCAAAACCATATTTTACCTTTAAATATAATTATAGATTGGAATAAAAAGACTACTCCAAAATTATATTTTGTCTTTATATATAGTTGTTATAGATTAAAGAAATGGAAACGGATTTCCTACAGTCAATTACTAATTTACTAATTGTAGGGTGATCTCAACCATTGATTTATCATAATAATTTTAATATGTTTATTGAATGTTAATAGGAACCATTAGATTTTGATAGTAAGGACTATATTACACTGATTGTGTGAATGTGTCATCCCCAATCTTTTTATTTAAATCAAATCATACTAAACCAGAAAATTAATTTTATATAATAAATAAATAAATATTTTACCAAAAAAATATATTTACAACACACATTCTCAATAAACTAACGCATTAGCAAAAAGTGATTTAACAAAGTTACACACTAACATATTGACACATTGATCTCTTGAGCATTTGTAGTACTATTAGGTATAGAGGATTCATTAGAAACTAAATTCCTACAAAGAGGACAAGTAGAGTGAGATTGAAACCACTTATCAATACAATCTAAATGAAATCCATGATTGCATTCTGGTAAAACTCTAACTTTTTCTCCTTCAACAACATCACAAAGACAAACAACACATTTCAAACCATCTTTGAATTCTTCTGGTTTGAAAACCCTAATGGGCAAAGACTTCAGAATTGATTTTTCAAGAGGAACAAAAGCATGTTGCCGATGTAAATCAAGAATTAAACGAACCATACATATGCAAAACATACATAAGAGAAATATAGCTAAGATCGCGAGATTTTCTGCATGTTCAATTGGATCAGAATCAGTCAATATCGAACATAAAAAAATTAAGAAACTCATGACATCATTGAAATATAGAATATAGAAATAATAAATTGTTCACGACCAATGTTTATACTTACCCAAGAACCGTTGCAAGAGAATATCCATGAGTCGGTAGAGTTTCTTCTAAAGTAATGAAAATTTTGTGTTTTAACTCAACCCTCGATACAAAGGGTATTAAATTTTTCAAAGAGGGAGTAATTCTTTCTAATTTGAGGGTTTAACATAAGCAACGCAAAAAATTCCTAATTTATATAAAAAGAATATTTATAAGTGAATATAAATCGCCGTTTTTAAATAAATCTAAAATAAAAGGAAACGAACAACTATATTTGTATAATAAAACAAATAATTTAAAACCTGCAATTTACTTAAAGAATTAAGATTTAACTAATTTTATACTAAAATATAACAGAGAAAGATTATATTTAGTTTAGATTTTATATTTTTAAAAATTACTAATGTATACAAATTTTGTGAGTTAATTTGAATCTACGATATAAAAAAAATATATCTTTCTGTTTTAATTGGTCTGAAGCCGACACGTGGTTTTATGATGGATGAAGAAATTTGTTCCAAATCCTTTCTTTTTTTTTTCTTTTAAAAAATCTTCCGCTTTCCTATTGTTAACAACACATGGCGGTTACGAAATTGAAATTTCGTCTTCAATTCTTTTTTCAAATCAATTATCGACTATCACTCTCTTCCTCTACCTCTTTCTCTCTTCCTTTTTCTTACCATTCTCTTCATTTTATATCATTCATTCTTCCTCTTCTCTCTCTGCATTTCATCTATTTCTCTCAACTTTCTTGAGATTTCCTTTTTTAACCTAACTAGATTTTCGTCAAAACCGTGAGATTGCATCTGAGATTGGCAGTTGCAGCATTGTCTCATGATTATGACTAGGGTCCTAAACTGGTAAACTACTCTTTTATATATTGTTGACATTAATGCGATATACGAAACAATTTGGTTTGCATTTGCTGGTAAATGAATCATCCTGCAACAAATGAATATATGTTCATATAGCTATTATTGACGCTTCCATTTTAACTAAATGATGAAAAATTAAAATCTGTGGGGAATTTTGGAAATGTCTAGGAGAGAAAGATATAACTTGGTTACAAAATTTGTTTAATAACATGATGAGGTCTAAGAAATGCTAAATGAGGCAAAGGTTTAAACTGCTATAGAAATGGTTAGGGCTTAATGCTTAAACGAATCTGTAGTAGGAGAGGAATTAATTAAGGGAGGGGGCACAATAGGTTTTGGAGTTGGGAGAAAGAGGATGAATAATAGAATGGAAATGTAGCATAATAGGTATGGGGGAATTGATTTAGGAATTTAAGGGAATAACACACTTGGAAAGGTATTTGGGATATTTAAAATCGGGTGTTCGAGGTTAAGCCAAGAATGGGTCTGGCTCTCTCACAGTCAAGGGAAATTCTGCTTTCGTATTTACTTTTCGTTCATTACCAGATACAAAACTTAATCATTTAATATCAGTTTGGGTCCTATAAAATCAATTCTTATGTTTTTTTCTCCAGGTGCACTGTCTTGACAGAGAGAGTAGTGGCAACCTTTTACTGGGGAGAACAAAAAATAGTGTATCTCACCTTCAATGGTCATTCAGTAACATAAATAATGCAAAATCTTCTTGTAAGGTGCCTTTTCTACACGAAAGTATTTAACTGTTGTTTTTCATACACATCATTTAGCTTGTGAATGCATTATCCAGTCTTTCACAATACTGTCTGAAGCCACCAGCAGAAAACACAGAGCCACCACCGAACTTTATTTATCCCGAAGGAAGGGGAAATATCGATAAAACCACAAGGGAATGGATAAGATGGTCTTGCGACCAAGAAAAAGGGTAAGGGAGTCGGTTATACGAGGGGAAGGTATTAGCATCCCTCACATCCGTCGTACTCAACGGGATCCATTTTGTTTGTTTGTCTTAAAGGGTGTATTTATCTACAAGTATGCTTGCTAAAAGGGAAATGAATGGTTTTTGATTATTGCGTTCGTGAGGGTTTCGTGACCATTTGCCTACGTATCCAATGAAGGAATCAGAATACCGTAGTTCCTCTAGAAAATGGTTTGTTTGTTGGTGTTTTTTTAGTGGGCAACGTTAACGCACGCATTCTAGCAATAGGCACGGCCGGTATCGCGGTAGAACGGAGATAACATGCCCTTTTGAAAAATCTTTGATTTGTAGAATGTTTTTGTTAAGTATGAAATGAGTTTGAATAATGATTAAGTGTTTTTGGATTTTTGATTTAAGAAAAGAAAATTCTAATTAGGAAATATGCAATTCAAAAGAAAAGTCTAAGGGGAAAATCTACCCTAATGTTGTCATGCAAAGTGGACCTAAAGTTGAGTGTTTGAAAGGGAAATTTCTAACCTAATTAGTTATCATGCGCAGTTGATCTTAAAGTCTAATTCAACATTAAAATGATCAAAACAAAGTTTAATCGTTTAATGGACTTCTTTAAGAGAATATGTTATCAAGATTTAACCAAGCCATTAAACCAAACAAAAGTAACAGAAATACGAAGCAAATATTTTTGTGTGATTTTTACTAGGTGAAGAAATGCGATTAAACATAATAACAAAAATGATTATCTAAACTAAAACATTATTAGAATAAATTCACAACGAGTCCTAAATTTATTCAAAGACTAAACTAATTAATAATAGAAATTATCTAATTAACCAAAAGAAATGATTATTTAACTAAATTTACTAACTAAACTAAATTGATAATAAAAACTAAAAACAAATTAGTAAAAGAAATAAAACAAAACATTAATTAGAGTGGGGATATAAAAATTAAAGTGGTGATGAGAAGATAGAAATTCACTGGGCTTATGGTTGAAATAAAACGGACTGGCCCATGGTCACATAAACAAAAATCAGCTAGGCTAAATATAAAAATAAAAACAAATATCGGGCTTACAAGGAACCGGGTCGGGTCAGACCCAGGTTCGGCCCTTATCTAACTAAAAAAAGTGGAAGGGTTAATATAACCCTAAAAATTCTCAGCGCCTCCATCACTAAATAAAACTACACGTTTCTTTTTTCTATGATCGATTGCTTCATCTCTTTCCCAAAACCATACTCTGCATTTTCAACAACTGATTCTTCTGGAAACCGATTCCAATAACAAAACTTCAATCTCGCAATAATACTTCCCCACCTCTCACAACAAACTTCTTCTGCTCTCTCTCTCTCAACCTTTAGACAAACCCTTACCTCTGTTCTTATATTCTAACGCTCTCTCGGGATACTCCCTCCGCCGTTTATACTTTACCTTCTTCTTAGCTCATCATCATGACTCAAACTTGCTAATTGTACTATGATTTCATTTTTATTTTGATGCAAGCGGATTCAAGCAAATAACACAAGCAGATTCAAAGATTTCAAACATAAGAAGATTCACAATCTTAAACATGAGTAGCTTCAAAGAGTTTAAAACACATAGAAATATAGCAAGAAACAAGTTCAAATATGAAGAGAATTGTGTGTTTGAAGCTTACTTGATCGGAGTCGCTCTGATGCGTTTTTGGCTGCTATTATAGAAGCAAGAGGATTAGGTATGCGTGTTAATATTTCACTCCTTCTAACCAGTTCGTACTTCTGTTCCTTCGATTTATGATTCTGAAGTTTTGATCGTTGAATGCCTTTGTGCAAGATTGAGCATCTGAGATGGAGAGATACAGAAGTCCGAAGATGATTATGAGAGGTTCGCAAATTTGAACATAAATATTAGAAGTTGTTTGAAGGTCTGTTGCAGCAAGATGATGTATCTTCAATTTGGTATGCTATTGATGAAGGTGTTTGTTATGCGCCCTGTTTTGGTTCGATGGTGCTGATTTTTACTATTGCAGATAAGGCTTCAAAAGGGGTGGTAAGTATTTTTAGGACAAAGCTTTTTTTTGCTAGGTTTTGAGTATTTAGAGAGGTTTAGATTGCGGATGAGAATGCAGGGAGATTTAGAAAGATGAAGTAGTTTTTCTTCTGCTGATTTCTCTCTTGTGTTTTTTTCTCTATTGATTTTTTGTTGAACAAAACTCTCTTTTTTCTCTATATCAATAATTAATTTCCTTTCAGTGGACTCTCTTGTTGGGTTTTTTAGGCTGTGTCAAAAAAGGATCCCCCCTTTGCTCACTATGAATGAAGCAAGTTATAGGCAGATTTATGGGTTTTTTGGGGGGGAAATTTGCTGAGGTTTTGAACAATTTATGATGCTGTTTTGAGTACTTTTTGGTGCAGGTTATGTTTTTGCTGTTTTTGTGAGGTTTTGCACAGGTTTTGGCTTGACATGGTGCATACTGGTTTTCTTCTATAGCAGTGGGAAACAAGGCTTTGTTTCTTTGTTTTGGGACTGTTTTGGTTGTAGGTTTTATCTTTCCTCTTTATCTTTCAATGATGTAAAGCAACCTGCTTTTTATCCTCTAATATTTCTGAAGGGTTTGCCTCTTTTAGGAAAATGATGCATTTGAGGTTTTGGCTGTTTGTTAGCCTTTTATATTATTGAATCATTGCTATTTTGTACTTGCTGATTTTGCTGCTTTATTTTGGCTTGTTGCCACTGTTGTTTCTGCTTGTGTTTGTTGTTATTATTTGCTTTGCTGGCCTTGTTACATCGCTGTTTGGTTTCTTTTTGAGATGAAGTAGCTGCTATTGTTCTGTTGCTTTTTGTGCTGCTTGTTTATTGTAGCTATGTTATTGTTTGCTTTGTTGTTGTTCAGATATGTTGTGTGCTTGGGCCTTTGGGCTGCATTTCTTTGGTTGTTTATGTGTTGTTGGCAGTTTGACTATTTCACTTTAGCAACAAAAAAAATGTTTGCAATTTTCTTTCTCCTCTTTGTGAACCAAAAGGAAAACTTTTTGTGATTTGCAATTAGGAGAAGATGGCCCATGATTAGAAATAAATACCTCTTTAACTGATTCCAAATGCGAACCCTTATGATGAGGCATTGATTCTTTTTATCAATTAATTCTTGTTTGGAATTTCTTTTTTTCGTATGTTGATTGCTAACTTTTTTCTTTTTCCTTATTTCATGAACCCGAGGATTGGATGATCGAGGAAAGGTTAAAAGATG